TCTCCTGCTTCCTTCCCATTCCAGCTCTCTATCCCAATGTTTCTGCCCTGCTGAGGAAGATATGACCTATTCCAGAAAAAGGCAGATTGTGTTTTCATAGTTCTGTTATGGTTCATAGTTTTGGCTTCTTTCTGTTCTTTGATTTTTTGTTTTGTATTCTTCCCTCAAATGGATTTCTGGCATCATGAAAATTCAAAAGCCAATCATCTAATTGTCTTGGGCTTAAGTTTTATTGACTATGGATATGTCTCTTTAAGGTGAAATTTGCTTAATATGTTCATACACTGATGGTTACACAACAACACACAGTCCCATCATCACTCAGGGATCATCACAAAATATTTGTTTTTTGCTCTGTCATTATTCTGTTCCTTAATTTTTCCATCATCTCAATGTACATTTCATTTTAATTATATTAATGGTTTCTCTTTTCCTACCAAATAGAGACCTTTATAATTAAGATTGTATATTTTATTTTAAAAAGCTATGTATGGAATGGAAACAATTGTTAACAAAAAGCACTAGACAGCTTGGGGAGAACTGGATTTACATTCTAACTTTTGCACCTGATTAGTTCTCTAACATTTCTCAGTTGTAATTTTCTTTTTACAAGCTGATTTCTAAAGTACATTCTAGCTCTAACACCATCTGAGAACTTCCTTAATGTAGGAGAGCATATATAGGATCTAGATATAGTCTCTCTGTTCACTTGGAGATTTGGCTGTATCTGTGGCTTATGACAATAACATTTTTGTTGAAAGCAGTTTATGGAGCTGTGAAGAAAAATTCAAAATACAACTGGTTCCAGTTCCAACAAAGCTATTCAGTTTCTGAGTATTTTGTCTGTCAGTAAGCAATTTGTGGTTTCTAAGGAAATTATGTGAATTGGGATGGTTTGTATTATTTATCCCTAAATCAGGAAAAATATAGCTGTTTTGCACTGTTTCTTACAGAGATATTAGAATAATGTAAAACCTGCACCATGGGCTTGACTTTGCTTTATTAGTTCTGAACCTTATTTCCTTCTACCTCCTTTCTGAAGTTAGTAAGGGCTACAAATGAGCACTTGCCATCTAAAGTGAAACTTTTCTATTCTTCTATTCAGATAGTCTATTCAGCATTAGATAAACTCATAGGTTAGTGCAACATGGTAACCAAGAAATAGTTATTGATTCTGAAGTATTTTGGAGTTGTTAAATAAGATACAATAAAAGCAATTTTAGTTAGATAATGTATATTACTAGCTAATGATTGTGGACCACTGGAAAGAAAAATGAGCAGATAATTCATTTTTTTCTACCTTTCAGCTGCAAAGACTTAGTTTAAGCAGATAATTTTGATATTTAGTTAATGAAATATATGTGTTTCATGTTTCATTTCTTACTCCTAA